GCTGCTTCCTGTTTCAACTCCTCCCTGATTAGCAATTGGCTACGTGCTCGTATGTAACGTAGCGGTGACAGTATGACGACTGATCGTTCAGTACTTATTTAGTCCTATGACCTGACCCACGGTTTGATTCGTTGGTTTTACTGCTCTCATTGACAGGTTTGACCTTACGGTAAACATTCTTAATGTTGAATCAAGAAAACAAATGCCAAATTGACATATTACTCTTTATTTAATTTAGTTTTTAAATCTATATAAACTGGTTGGCCTTTTCTGACTAATAATATTTAGTTTTGCAGTAGAGCAACAGATTAATAGTTAGAGAATACCTTTGAAATGCAAATATCCAGTAAAGTTCATTCTTACCATCTGCAAAATACATTTTTTTCGTATTATAAATAGAGATAAATGTTAAAGCAATTACTGCAATCGTGATTACTACGCCATTCGACTTACCTGTTGCGGTGTAAAGGCGAGGGAAGTAATCTTCCCAGAAAGCGCATTGCCGTCTTCGAGGGCCGTGACCTGTGCCGTTTTCGGTGGCTGATAAAATAAGATACGTTTCATTTTTGGTGTACTGCGGCCACAATTCATGCGTCCACGTATGATCCGGATTTATGTTCGGATTCCTAAGAAAACTTAAAATTGTGCAGCTCCTAATTCTGAAAATCGTTCAAGTTTAGCACTGACATAATTACTTGACTGATCGATGCATAAGGTGAAATGTTCAGATGTTAATCTGCTTAAATGCACCTCTGCGGTGCAACTAGGCAGAGTTTGGTTTGTCAGGGCGTCGGTCTTCCGTCACTTTCATGATTGGGCACTTTGACACCCTTCCTTTCATGAAGTTGATGTTGCGGTGTTCGAGTCCGTTTCTGTGCCATCAGTCAGAAACCTTATTTTAAAAGCGGGTCCACGGCTATGCGGCAACCGCAGCCCGTAGGGTCCTGTTTCCTTCCCACAACGTTGTTCGCATTTGTCAGTCTTGGAAGAAGAATGGACGAGTGACTCTGACCGGGGCTAAAGCCCGGGGACCCGTCGAATCTGAATTCTACAATCTACCGACTGCGCAATCCCGGTCTGAAGCAATGTGGTAAATTTCTTGCTCAATGGAATTCGTGAATAAAGCAGTCACCCTCGAGCGGAATCGAGCGCAGCACCTTTAAAGTTCGAAGCAGTTCTTTCATACAATGTACCAACATGCCAAGCAACGTTAAGCATACTGTAAACTCGCTAGAACTTTTTTCAATCAGTTCTCTGCAAGAGTGCTTCACGAAATCACGTTCCTTGAATGTTCAACGAAACTGAAAGTAAGAGGAGGAGCTTCGTTATCGTCCTTGAAATGTTTCCTTCAGTCACATGTTTCTTTTAGCCTAATTCCATGTAATTTGCGTTTTAATGAAAGGAGCATTGCAGTGACTAGCGTTGTCGGAGGCAGGGAGAATATCTGCGTCCTGCGTTGTTATTATAGTGTCATCATTGTCATAAGATGCTAATAACGTGTAAACAGCAGAGTGACGCAGATTTATTGTCTGATCGTTAGAAATGGTAATTCACATTGATATTAGGCAACATCCACTGCTACGGCACTACCTCCGTGAAAGCAAGTCTGCTTAAGCGAGATGATTCCATGTTTTGCATTGTTCTCCAACGCATTGGCGGCGAGTGTCAGGTTCCCCAAAGAGAAATTGGTTAAAATGATTTCCAGTATCTTCAAGGGACGCTATATCAAACCATTTCAAGTAGCGGTCTCTGATAGTTTTCTCAGACAGGTGGTAGTCGACATTTGATTGTTCGTGACCCCTGGTACGATTCACTTGAAAGATACTTTGTAAGCAGCGCCACTGATTCTGTCAAGAACGATCCTCATGGCATTTAAAGACGGTAGATTTTTCTAAGATGTACATGGGTACCACAGAATGATGATCATCGTATCGGTTCTCGTATTTCGATCTTTCTACATGCCATACAGCTTGCCGAAGTTCGTTGATGCCAATCCAATTCTCCGGCTCACTTCAGGATTAATGTAGCCATTGCTAGTCAGCACAGTTCTGAGGTACGTGAAATGGTTCAAATCATCCATCGAAATACGGTTATATAATATCTTTCGACTTCTGATCGGGGTGGGGAGCTCTGATAATCGTCCTCTTTTTTGCGCTTACTTGGAGCCCAACTTTTATAGCTGTGTAACACATGCTTTCAGTGAGTGTCAGTAGGTCACTTACGGAGTCGCTCAGCAGCACGACGTCATCGGCATATTCAAAATCTGTTACGATTACCACCCAGTATCTTGAGCTGTGTCGCTGACTAATGGTCAGACCCTCGTTATTACTTGAGACGACGCAATTCGAACTAACTCAGTTTGCCATGATGCTGAATAACAAAGGAGAAAGCAGGTCGCCCTGCGTCCACCAGCAGTGCTGAACTACTCCCACAGTGTTCCTTCAGTTCAGATGGCGCACCTAGTCCACTCGTAAGGATCTATTTTCAGGTTTACTGTTGCATGTGAAATTCAGTAGTGACGAATAACTCGCCACATTGTTAAGCGATGAACTGAATCAAAGGCTGTCCGGAAGCCAAGAAACGCCGCGTGCCAGGGAAAATGGAAGCTCCGGTACTGATCGATGACTCGCATCAGCGCAAAGATGTTGTCCATATACGAATGACCACTTCGGAAGCTTGTTTGGTTAGTTAGCAGTGAACGATCGATGGTTTCCGTCAGTCATCCGAAAACGATTCGCACGAAGACGTTTTCCAGCACCTGTAGGAAGGTGATTCCTCAAGTGATGGTTCAGCCGGCGCGGTTCCAACCTTCATGGTTCAAGATCAGAATTCTCACGCCTTTCTTCCAGTCTTAGGATATGATCGACTTTTGCCAGATGCTATCTAGAATCCAGCGGAGAAGGTTTTCATTCATTGCACTTCAGGATTTTCGCCCCAATACCATGAAATCCGACGGACTAAGAGCTTTAGCAGAGTCTTAGAGCCTATTGGATTTCTTTGATTGACGATCGAGCGCAGTCAACAACTAGATCTTTTCAAGTTTTTTCTTCTATTTAGAGACTTACCAGACGACTAGACTTACTGAGGAGCTCTGAGAAGCATTCGGCCCATTGTTTCCGACGGGCATCACTGTCTTGCAGCACTTCGTCTTATTGTATAACAGTTCGCGGGTCGGCTTTTGTTTGCCAATACTGGCGATGATGTTCACCTGGCCATACAGCGCATTATAGTTCCCTTTCGCTGTTGCATTTCCCGCTTCTGCGCTTCAGAGGCCAGTCATGCTGCTGCTTACGTGGTGGTGATATTTGTACTGGTTCTTACAGAAATCTTGTATATGCACTCAGCCCTGAGTACGTAAGATACGTATTCTGGCAGAATTGTCATGGACATTGATATATTTTGTTTCTCCCCTCAGCAAAATATCACTCTTGGCTATCTCTAACTTCATCGTTTAATAGCTTTAGTAATTTCTTTTCAGCTGGGAAGCAGAACCTATTAAAGGTAATACTCTTCTATGCAAATGAACATAAACAAATCGCATTCCTCAAAAAAGCAATTTATCCTGAAAGCTGAGGAAAAACAGACAAACTGATAACAAAAACTGACTCGTGTTCTAACTTATTCATTAAAAACAAACAAGTATAGAATTAGGTTTAATTAAAGCAAAAAAAGTTTTGCACGGTGAATTATGCTAACACATCGCTAACCCACGCATAAGGCGTATTAAAGTTGTCCTTATTTTCTTACCTCGTTCCTACTTCTTCATGATTTGTCAATTCAGTCACATGAACACAATGGACGCAAAATATCATTTCTTGCAGATATATCGAATATGTGCATAGTTGTTTCAGTATTTCATGGCACAGGACACCAAGTACAGTAGATGG